AAATAAGTATAAAATATTAAATAGTCTACTTTTAACTTTCCCCATATTAATTTGTCTGCAACATTAAGTGGTATATCAATATAGAAAGCCTAGTTACCTTTTTGTTCTTAGTTCAATATAATCTCTCAATGATATATATAGTTTGCGATAAGTCAAAATAAACCGTACCATAACAAAGGTTAAAGTGAGATTAAATAACGGAAAAAGATTAAAATTGTAGTTGAATCAACAATGTTCCTTCAATTTATCGTTTTTAAACAAAAGGTCGACTACTCAAGTGTTGCTTATCGGGACAAATATTAACACTTAACTGTAAAAGCAGACAAGAGAGGTATTTACCTCAAGCCTGTGTCATTAGAGAAGTTAGCGCCGTCGCATCGTGTCAACAATTCCTGGAATATAAGAGTAAGTAGGATTATTGCAGCTGTTATATTATATTACTTGGAAAATAGCGAATGTATACATCTTTATGCGAACGCTTCTAAATATTGATTAAACGGAACTTTGTACGAAAGTATAGGCACATTAGGTACATATGTATTGACGTATTGCGCATTTGATTATCACCTTTGATAGTTTTTAGCGCGGGCTGGTCGCGGGGCCCCGTCTGTTGCAAGTTTACATGATCTTTTGATGTCTGTGTTTAAAATACCTACTTAAAATTTTTCCATCTAATATTTAATACCCAGCATTTAGTCATAATACGTCGTGTGGGTTCCGGCATAGAATGGGCCACCCCTTTCTTTCTCGTGGGTGTCGTAACAGGCGACTAAGGGAATTTAATAGTCGAGGGATGGGCAACAGCATCCTTCTTAAAACATCTCCAAAGCCTAACTGCGGTGGCCAAGTGTGGCAGGTACGGGCAAAAACCCTCTTATGGGAGAGGTCTATATACAGCAGTGGACAGTTAACGGCTGACATGGTATGGTATTCAATAGTAATATCTATATGTAAAGACTGTATCCCACTAAAAAAACAACTTTAATTATGACAAAACTAGTTATTTTGATCTAAAAACTAAACTATAGAACCCATTTTGATAAAATTTCTATGTGACCAAACTATATCCTTTCAGAAAAAAAAAAAGGAAAAAGAGAATTTTATTCTTCTTATTAATGAGTAGTATGATTTAAGCAAACGTTAGCATTCGATAGATGTACACTGCATCATGGTGTCTTTTCAAAGCTCGTTTCACATGACATTTGCGCAATTTTCCTTGACGACTAAAGCGCTTGACAAGGTCCAACACAACGGCTTAATTTACAAGCTACTCCGGCATGCTAAACATCCTTACTAATATTATAAATGCGAAAGTGAATTTGTTTGTTACATCTTAGCACTTTAACGGCTTAACAAATCACTATGGAATTTAGTACCTGTATACTGTATAAAATGGAGAAGGTTATAGACTTGTTTATGGGAATAGGGAGTGATGATGCAGAGGCAAAGGAAGATGAACAAAGCTTATTACACACTAAACGATTACTTGAAGGACATACGGTTGTTTGCTACCTTTGTGGTATAAAAAAATAAGAAATTAAGATTTTTTTTATACAACTTAGAATGGCAAACAAGCTAACGACCCACCTGATGGAAAGTGGTAACCGTCGCCTATAGACATGAGCAGTACCATGGACATAACAGAGTATACTGTTTCGGCCAAGATACCCCCCACGCGTTGCCATTCCTTAGGACTCAGGTGTTATTCCTCTGTAGCCAGTAAATTCATGCCATATCCCACCCTTCATACCGAAACACAGCCATGCAAACACAACTGCTTCACGGTTGAAACACGAATGCGACAGAGATATCCAAGCAATCGACTTTTGTACAAAGTCTCCCTCTGGTAAAATTTTTCAATTGTCATTAAATAATCAATAATAATAATAATTGAAATATAATATCAACGCATGGGGGATATAAAAAATCCTTATAAACATCAAGAGTATTCGTAATCCATCACCAAATTTCCCAAAATCCTACTTATTTTTATTCAAATGTGTATAAATACAAATATACCATTATATTCGTCTGTCTTATCTAAACTAATATTACAAATAAGAAATAATGTTTGTTTGTTTGCTATATGTTATTTTTGAAAAATCTATCTACCCGTGCAAAGTCAGGCCGGATCCCTAGTTTAATTATATGGCTGTATCCCGTCGTATTTGGACGCGAAAACTAAGACAAATATAATTAATATGTTTTTTTTTAATGGATAATAATGAAATGGTAACCTCGCCGGCGCCATCGGAATACACTGAGGTACACTAGTAAGGGATACGTTCGGATAAAGCAGGTCAGTTGGCCCATCGTGACTAATTCAACAATTAATTAATCACAATAGTTTCCAAGGGAAACTGCGTGGAAGTCGACCTAACAGGTTATTTTGCTAGCAATGGAGTTGTTAATTCCCATGACTATACTAACAACCCTTGTACCCTGTATCGTATGTATATATATACGTATCCAGATTGCGATATAATTTTTATCTCCATAACTATTCGTATTTAGATGTTTATGAGTGATAGAATAACAACACCCAAACATGTTTACAAGCTTTTACATTTACAATATTAGTAGAATAGGGGGGAAAGGGACTGTTAGTAATGGAGACTGAGAATTCCATTGCTAGCAATATACCCAACCAGGTCGACCTCCTCGCGGTTCTCCCTGGAAACTATCATGGTTAATTCCAAATGAATTCATCATGATGGGCTAACTGGCCTGTTTTCATTCTCATCTATCACCCTTCACTGGTACTCCGCCAGCGTATCCCGTTAGCGCAGGCAGGGTTACCATACCATTTTCACCCATCAAAAAAAAATTTGTAGAATATGTTGCTTCAATTGACATTACAATTAAAGCCTAATATGATAAGCCGTGTGGCCCCGGCATAGAATAGGTCACCCCTTCCTTTCCCCTTGATATTGTAAGAAGCGACTAAGGGAACTTAATGGTAGAGGGCAGTGTATCCCTCATAAAATATCTCTAAAAGCTTAACTGCGATTGCCAAGGCCTTGGCCTGCCCGCCAAGCGCGGCGACTACTAGCAAAACTCCCCTTATGGGTGAAGTTCAGTTACAGGGACAGTCAACGGCTTAAATGAATGATAAGTAAAAATGTACTTTTTAGGCAGTGCCTTTCTAGGCACTTTAAAGCAACCATGCATAGGGTGAGAAATAATGCGTTGATGTCTTTTGATAGGAAAATTGTAAGGCTTTTAAGCCCCACACAATAGAGCCCACTGTTTCATTATATTTAACCTTGTTCTATTACTACAAATTAACATCCACAGCCACTTTTAGCCGACCGCTGAAAAAAGAAGGTTAATGTTATTGCGATGTATGCTACACACATATAATCTATTTTGATGATTTATTTATTGAAGTAAGCTACAAGACAACAATACAATATACATGGTGATCATAATGTTGTAAAATTTTATACTTAGCCTGATTCCTTAGTAAGAGAGACATGTTTATTTAACCGAATTAAAAAAATAGTAGATTATTAAATAGATTGTAATTATTTTTTATGATGATACATGTTGAGAGAAATCATTTGCAATGCTGTATCAGCTATGCAAATTTAAGCCAATTCTAAAAGAAGATTAACTTTTTGTATGATGGTAAGATGATATTTTCGCTAATTCTCTATAGACTATTATTATTTTTTGTTTTTATTTTCTTTTTGTACTACTATGGTGGCAAATAAGCATAGGGGCCATCTGATGGTAAACGGGGTTACCGTAGACTACGGACGCTGTAGCATGTCACGCACGCATTACCAACGCACAAGAAACCATATTACGCCCTTTTTAAAAACTACATCCTTTTACATTTAATAATCATATTATTTTGTGGATAATGTATATGATTAGTCTATTTAATATACAAGTAAAAAGGATATGAATAACGAATAATTTATATTTAGTGATTTCAATACCAGTTCACGACTCATGAGTCCGATACCAACACTTTGTGTACGTTTAAATTAATGACGAACTCTAGATGACGGTAAATCTCCCTAACGATAAAAATAGAAGTGAAATGTCTAACGTCAAATTACTCTGTCTCCCCCATATAAGACTGTATGCATACTATAGTATGTATACTTATTTTATTTTTTTAATGTTGTTAATTTTTTTCTTAAAAATCTCAGTTATATACTAACCAACATATTTAATAGTTTAATATTAGAACATAACAAATTGAATACTTAATTGAACTTAAAATGATATCACGATATATCGAGCTATGTCACCGTAAATGGGCCGTGCGACGATTGTACATCATTATTCAATAACCACTACAAGATTGATAGACCGCTACTTTATAGTAGGTAATAAAATAAGTAATTGATTCAACAATAGGCATGTAAATTATAACGATAAAATTATTCACATTATTGTGTACAACAAAAGGCTAATTAAGAGATGCCAAATTACTCATAAGAGTTTCAAGTTCCATTCGAATGAGCCCCTAATATCAATTTTGAATTTCACACTGCAAAGTGACGGTGCAAACACGCCGTAACAGGCAGGTGTGTACGCCATCCCCCGGAGCTTGCCGCGCCGCACCACCGCGTGACCGCGCCGCACTCCGCGGCCACTTCCGACGCCGTCTGTGACCACCGCTACCGCTCGAAGCTCGACCCCAACCGTCCACAACGCGCGGCTGCATGACTCACTCGCAATAAACATTCAACTCTCACTACAACTGCATAAACTTGACAATCGAACGCACCGTGCACCACGTGCGTATTCGGTGCACAATAATCTGTCATCGATAAATGCACGAACCGAATTCATCTTACAATTGGCCACTGTCGCCGACTGTGCAATTTGTTTGAATTCACTGCATTACTGTTTAAGGAAACGAATACCAGAGGTCACGTTGGAAAACGGCGCGGTATGGATTGTAAACAAACAAACGAGGCGCGAATCGAATCGGGCGCATTGTGAAATGCGTATACGCACACGGGACATGCATAACTTACGTGTTTGTGCGCAGGTGAGGAGACGTAAACAATGGTGTAATAAGCCATCGATCGTAGAGTACAAAAGTAGTGATGCGCGCAAATGCAGCGGGCCCGAGATGCAGCATATAGCGTGCGAGGGGCGCGGGCGCACGCAGCGTACTGCAGCGCAAGGGGCACCCCGCCGGCGCCGCGCCACCGTCCGATACTTTGTCAACAAACACCCAGTGAATGGGAATAGGGCTGCCGGTGTTTCGCATGACACCACCGCATGGATCCGATGCAGTGTGGATGTCAGCGCACTCTCTGCCGCCTCGTCGGGTGTCGCCACTATTGCATTCTTCCATACCATTATTTCGATTGTTTGTGTACTTACGCGGCTGTCACTCATCATTTATTACGTTCTATTACCCATTTAGTTATAGCCATCGCAGTTAAATATATGATTGATGATAGGTTTATTTTACTTTATTTGGATATAAATAAGCATTTTAGATATATTATTTTAATAGGCAATGTAAAATCGCTATGAAAAAATAGTAGCTGGAATAGAACCTTCTAATTTTGTTATCCGCCCATTTGTGCACATAATTTTTATGTTAATGTAAAATAATATTCCCCAGTTAGTTAAAGATGTCCTTTGATGTCAAATTTGTATTTCCTCGTATGTATAGTAATGGGTAACTTTAATTTTACATTTTCTGATTTTGATTTCCCCCTATCTGTAATATAATTTTACGATATAAGTTCAATCTATATGTAAATGTAAAATAACATGCTTTTGATTTCAAATTTATATTTCCTCGTAATGTGTAATTTTAATATTACATTTGCAACAATTTTTCAACAATTTCATTTCATTTTTAAAACTTCTGTTTACGTAAAAAAAAAACATGAGACTAAAAGTGAAGAAGACGAAATATCCTCATTTCAGATTTTATTTTCCCAAAATTGTTTATCTTTGAAATGACTTAAACCTTCCACATAACTTTTTTTACTAGGAACATTTTAATGAAGTGTATAAAAATGTTTTAACTGTATGTTGTTATGATTTCAATATAGTAGTGTTCCTACTTTATAGTGAACAAACAGTATAAACGTGCCAAGAGTGGGAGCACGTGCCCAAGTAACCGTGGAGTCACATACGAGCATGCTTTGGATGCCATTCAAAGGGTTTTATGGATAGCGGACAGGCGGCGTTGCGGGCGCGGTGCAGTGTGGTGCGGCGCGGCGGTCCGTACGCGTAAGAATTCCGGCGTTAGGGTGCGCGGGCGCATTGCATTCGGGGTCATTGTCCGCGTAGCGCCGCACGCCCTTTGGCTGATGAATGCAGTTTAAATTGTAATACGAACCCTTCTTCGTCAAAGTCGTTTGCTAAAATGATAAAACTAATCAAAAATGGCGGAAAAGTGGCAGTCCGGTAAGAATTAAACCTTTATAATTGCATGCCACAACACACATGTATTGATAAGCACAGACAGAGAAATTTTGAAAAAGAATTATTCCGTCTTTACTTTATTATTGTGTTAATGCCAAAGGAACGACACTAAATTACGTGCTTACTTCCTCCATATATATATCTTTGTGGTGCATATGTTACGAAATGTCTGCCAATTGTCCACCTATTTTCTTAATTCTAGTGGTACAGATGGGCTCATTTCCGTTCTGGTTTTGATCTTATACTGATTTCACCACGACTATATGTATGTGATATAGGGTAATCCATTCCTACAGAGTAAGCCAGTATATTGGGAAGCCGGTTTGATTCTTAACCGCTTGGTGTTCCTCCCAAAACTCTAAATCTGTATGTGATCATATTAAAAAAATGAAATATGTCGACATTTTTACTTTTTTCGTAAAGAAAAATTTTGTCCGCGAACATGTCCATCGTCCGTGAAGACATATTGTGACATAAAATCTTAAATTACCCCCAAACAATTTTCACAATTTTCTTTATTAATAAATGTGCATAAAAACCGCGGTGTAAAAATTTAAGTTTAACCGTACCTGTTTCATACGAATTTCATACATATCTGTTCAGCGGTATCGCACGAGTAGACAGAATTTTAGTAAATCAATACACGTAATAAAAAAAGTTTCAGTTAATTCAACTGATCGATTTTTTTATACAACTTAGAATGGCAAAAAGCTGACGGCCCACCTGATGGAAAGTGGTAACCGTCGCCTATAGACATGAGCAGTAAGTAACATAGACATAACGGAGTATACTGTTTCGCCCATAATACGTTGCCATTTCTGAGGACTCAACTGTTATTTCTCTATACCCTGTAAATTCACTGCCATATCCCACCTTTCAAACCGAAACACAGCCATGCAAACACGATTGCGTCACGGTAGAAACGTGAATGGAATAGAGGTGCCCACCCAAGCAAACGACTTTTGTACAAAGTCTCCTTCTGGTAGCATAGCATTTTATATGTGATTCTTTAGATTGATATAACTTTATTTATGAACCGATTGGAATAAAACAAACACTAAATGTTGGTTAGCAAACCGCAAGGCATTAGTGAAACCGCAATCAAATCGGTTAAACCATTTCTGAGATTAGCGTAAACAAACATATAGACAAACACACAGACAAACAAAGAAACAAAATTTTCTCATATAATTATATATCTTCCATGTACAAACAGCGACCAGTTACGATTTTATTATATGTATTTGTTGATTAGTAGGAAGAAGGATGCTTTTGGAAGTAAAAATCTCAAACCTTAGCCTCATGTTTCGTTCAAGGTTAACATTTTTGCAGATTATATTATTATAAGTCAAATGTTTATATGTAGTAATAAATAAAAATTCAAAATAACGTTCTATAATAATTATAATAAAAAATAAAATCAAATCGAACAGATTCGACGTACTTACTAAACTAAACTTATAATATCCTTGGCAGATTGTGCTACAGTTATTCAAACATATTTTGAAAATAAACTAAATGCATTATGTATTCATTTTCTAGGCATAAGTACAATATAAGACTATGCAGTTAGGGGATTTACAGCACGTAAATTGTGACAAATTAAGATTACAATTGACAACACTCATTTTATTCCGTAGGTCTCATATCATGTTAGAAAATTGTTAATATAACATTATTATCTATTATCACATTATGTAAAAGTATAGGAAAATGGATGATTATTTTCAGGGTCCAATCTGAGGCCAAACAGAGGAATTATCCGCGGCAAAAATGAGGGGTGGTTTTTTTTTTTTATCTTTTTTATTTAGAGGCTTTTATCCTATAAGGATATGTCAGCCTCATATAGATGAGGGGTGGTAAAACTACATTATTTGAGACAGTCCCCGATCTAAAAATATTCAAAGTTGGTAAGAGTTGAGGGTATTTTTTACATACTTTTAAATGATGTAGGCGACTAATATAATGTTTGCCAGGTACGACAAAATAAGTATAGATCGGGCCCTGATTATTTGCGACAATACTTTTACATGATATAAATCACAATTCTCGCTTGATAAAATATGAAATATTGTCGTCTAATGATTTCATCTTAATTTCTATCTATATAATGATTTACTTGGCATTTGTCAAATGATGTTTATGTACATGAATACTAATCAATATTTCTGCGGCGAAACTAATTTATTACGAATGATTTAGATATGACATAATTATAACTTGACCTATCATGTAGGTGCATGGCACAGAATGCAATTCGTATTTGTGCTCGTGTTTCTGGTTAACAAACAAAATTCACTATCATTGACTAATTTAACAAAACTGCATCGTCAAATTTATGAATATATTTTATTTACAATTAATACTCTCAGTTACTCTTACACGTAACTAATAATTTTCATATGTAATTAATATTTTTATAAACGTTACATCTTGCAGCAATTTCAATCATCTTCGCTCAAATAAACACTAACAGCTATCAATAAAAATACAATAAGTAGATACGTATTTTTTTAATTGAAATTATTTACTTGCATTTATAATAAAATAAATAAACGTAAGATGTAAATACATTTATACTCTTTTTTCGTTCTACAAATAAATTTAGCAGTGCGTGAAAAACGAATTTCAATTACATACAAGTATTGTATGGCTAGTTATTTGTACAACTTTTGAAACCATTCAGTAACGAAAAAATTAACGAGTATCTACGAATTAATCTATATTCTTCTACAATATAAAATTTGTATCGTAACATTTCATATTAGTTTGACAAAACAGGATTCGAATTTTAAAACTGGGAAAAACAAAACTAACCAGAAAATGACAGTTTGCTTACGTAATACATTGTTGTTCGCCTAAACATTATCATTTCTTCACTCAGTAGCGTTTTCCATTCATACAAGCTTTATACAAAGAAATATAAATAAGTATATATTAACATTATAATACCACCAGGTATATATCAGTACAAATGGATTTAATAGTAATATTTTACTCTTAGAGTATAATATTAATAAATTGCTATACATATTTACAATAAAACCGCCATTCTCATCTTTTTCAATAAAAAAGAGTATTGATTGAACTCATATTATAGATTAATATATATTTTATTCTATAATTAAATATTTATTTATAGAAAATACATATACAGATACTGAAATTTAGTATTAAAAATAAAAATTAAAGTTGTCACTCTATGTATTGGGGCATCGTTCTAAAACGATGTTCAATTTTGAAGCGTTCCTATGAACGTGTAAGTCTGAATACTTTACATCAAATAGGCAGAAGTCTAATCTATACCTTATAACCTAGTACTTAGAATCTAAGTTTGCCTGTAGTCGTATAGTTGTCGCCATATAGTTCGTATCTATCAATGATCGCGTTCACTCGAGTCCCACGTCCAAGCACATCATCACTACGAATCCAATGATGCACCCCCACGTCGCTAACTTGCCGTTGCCACTGCACACACATAAAATAATAAGTCACAGAGTTTAAAACATATCAGTCTTTATATTTATATTATTAACAGAAAAAAAAATAAAGAGATTTAAATTCGTTTGCATTTTTTTGTATATTAGTCGAATGCTTCATCAATTATAAACCGATAATTTAATTTTGATATTTCTTACTGCAATAGATGGGATTTATTTCCGTGTTGGTGCCAAATTCATTTTGTGATTATTTTAATCATCGTTTTTTCATTGCGATGCTAAATCCTGCTCATTGCGAAGAACAATCTATTTCTAGAGACATGATTCCATGTTCTAAATTCAAATATTTTTAATCTAATGTGTCTAAGAAACATCTTGTCGTTAATCAAAGTTTTGTTTCAATTGAAGTCGAATTTATTTTTTGCTTATCCATTCTAAGTCGATTTTGATGACTTTTTACAATATCTTTTTTTTTCATAAAATCTTACATAAATTGATAATAAAATACATATTAATACTAGTACTAATTCTGCTTATCACTAATATATACAATTTCCAGTTTACACTATTTTTTTTTTATAAAAAGAGGATTTTAATCATACGGACCGACTAATGGCAGTCCATGCCGCCAGAGGCAACACACGCGCCTTGTCGAACTTTGATATGAAGATCTTAAATGACTGTATCCAGTATGAATTCACTGCTTCTAAGTTCTAAACAGTTATATAAGTATTTTTGCTTGGCGGAAAAATAGTTAAGTCAGTGATAACCATGCAAATTTTATATAAACTCACTCTGATGACTGAATTTACCTCCTAACAGCATTTCCAAAAAACGTGTATCGTGTAAGCAATATACATGTTGTGCTCATACTGAATTATGTACATATTGTGATTGTATAGAACATGTTTTTTGCTTATATTTATTATTATAGATGTCTCACCACCCATATCCAACAAAATACATGTCGTAATTAATATATGTCGCTAAGCACATGTTTTGTACAACATGTATTTTTGTTGAAACGGTTGGTAAGACATAAGCGAAAAATATGTATAAGTACATAAACATGTAAAATACAAATTGTCTTACCCTTCGTAAAACACTGACAAACGAAACAAACGCGTGCGTTCTCGTGTCTTTATTTCGTGAGGATATAAAATTTAATGAATACAATCGTTAAAAATCTATAAATGTCGTATTAGCCGCATAAATAAGTATAATAAGTCAAGGAACGACGTCTGAAGCTTTAAGTATGAATAATGCTCCTCTATTGTCCGTGATCAAATTAATTAATATGTACCGGGACCGTGAACGAAACCGCGGGTAAAGGTAGTAACAAAATAAGAATCACAATAAAATTTATTTTAAACTGTTAACCCAGTAAACTTTCGAATTCTAATTTATCTATAGACTAATTCCGTTTTTCCAAATTGTAAGTACAACTAGCTCTATGATTTGATACAACATTTTATATTTAGTATTCAGTTCATCGGGTCGACATCTAAATACTATTTTTGTTTTAGTAATCACTTGTCTTAGACGAGTCGTAAAATAAAAATAGTTTGTTTTATTTTCACAACATGGCGAGATTTTTTGCATTCCTAGTTGTGTCATCAATGTTGCTAGACACGAGTAACATACAAAATAATAATGTGTGAATTTCCACTGAATGAGATTATCGATAAAAAATATTAATTTCAATTACATACATACAATGAATAAAATAGAAACTAGACGCATACCCGACACAGAATAGATCATCGCTCTTGTACCGTGATTATCCTAAGAGGCGACTAGAGGAACTTATGGTGAAGGGATAAGTAGCAGCGTTCCTCATAAAACATCACCAAAAGCCAAACAACAACATATTTATCAAACACTGAAACCATTAAAATCTTTTTAGGGGAGACTACCGGTATAACTGATCATATTTCTCTAAGACATAAGAAATACGAAGAAATAAGTAAAAAATTATCAATTTTGAACATTCCACAACAACACAATGCATGCGATTATCACTTATGTGAGTACAAGAGTTGAAACATTTTGATTTTTGTAATTATATTTTTTTAAAACATTAGATATTCGATCCATGTTTCTTTTGGTAAAATGTTGTTTTCATTAGTAGAACATTCCTTTAAAATAATGCTATTGACTTCGATTTCAACCTGCATCCTATTAATTATAGGTAGGTTTTTAGTTTTAGATAATGAGGATCTGGGGACGATTCTCGCTAGGACCAATTTTGAAAAGGAACGTACTCGTATCTAAATTGTGTATGTGTCGTAGTCCCAGATGTTCATTGCCTCGTTCCTCATAACACAGGGTAACCTTGTTTGAGGACCAGACTATTGGTATGATTGTGTAATGTGTGCCACACAGGCATTTATTTAATATTTATTTATTAATTAGTAGTTTAAAATTGCCAGCATTTATTGTATACGTACATCACACCGATATCAATCTGTAGAGAGCTGCAACAGATATTTAACGATTAGCTACATTAAAAAATCAAAGTCACAAACGATCCCGTCAATTTCTTGATTATTATTACATTTTAACTATCATTGTTACACGCGACTAGAATACGAAGCCAGGCATTATTAGTCGTACATGTGTACAAAAAGTTAATTTAAGAGGTGAACCAAATTTAGTGAGAGTAAGTTTGGATTTCTCTATATTGTAAGGGTTGACTCTTACAATTATTAACTATATTTTCTATGCAACTTGGAACGTCAACTAGCTGACAGCCCTCCTTATGGTAAGTGGTAACAGTTTCCTATAGTCATGGATGTCACAGAATATACTGTAATATACATACATCGCCATACCTGTCATAAAAAAAAAAAAGATTAATAAAACACGGTGCCAGGGCCAAAAGAAATAAAAATAAGGGGGAGAGAGATAAAGTGATATAGAATGTTGATACGGAGCTTACACTTAACTTTACACTTTTGTAACATAAAATAGCAAATGAGAAGAATTATAAAGAATAAAATAAGTAAGAAATAGTAAACATAATCAGTAATTTCACATAGGAAAAAAAATAATTCCAAATCAGTCTTGTCTCCTTTATTCTTTTTAATCACGACATTCCTAAGGACTGTATTATGCATCTGTACACTGTAATTTCACACAAATGTTAGATGGATGGTTCATGATTTTAATATGCACAAGAACTTAGTACGCTATCATAGTGCGAGAATTTCTTTTCGGTTGTTCGCATTCATGGATATATAGTCTTTGTGCTCGCTCAAGATCATGCGGGCACATCACGAGCTATTAAAAAAAATACATAAAAAGTACATTTACGTGCGACCAAAACTTCAGAATAAGGTTTAAAGAGAAGCGCCGATAAATGCGACGCATGTTCGTTTAGCCATAATAATATACATTACCACTAAACGTTTATCCAGCGTAATACAAAATGGCTCCTGTCGCTTAATAAAGCTAGTCTTCATTGCGGTAAATTCTACAAGCTGTTTGTTGTTGTATCAGTCGTTAACTGACCCCTGCTGAACATAGCTTCCCCCATAAGGGTGGGTTTTGCCAGTAGTTGCTACGCTTGGCAGGCGAGTTGGCAACCGCAGTTAGACTATGCAAATGTTTTAAAAGAGACGCTGCTTCTCATCCCTCGACCATAAACTCCCTTAGTTGCCTTTTACCATATCCACAGGAAAGGAAGGGGTAGCCTATTTTATGCCTACACAGCTACCTACAAGCTGGTTACTATATATTTATAATGTAAATATCAAACTAATATACTAAACAATCCCCTTATTTGTAAGGAGAAGAAGCAACCCGAAAGCTATCAGTATACTATATTAGGTCCGATCTTCATATCTCTTAGAATCTGTCGTGGGTAATTCCTGGTGTTCTCATCACAATGGGCAAATTGGCTTGATTTCCTTACTAGTCCCACATTAGTGTAAGCTAATTTTAATAGTTATCATTAGATTTTCATCAATTAATACATTAATGGAATTATAAGTAATATATTGTTATAGTGCAAATGGTACCCTCACAAACCGTTATAAAATGCCATCGTCATACAATAACGGCCATTGAGAAATAACGAGTAAACTATATTTGAATATCAACTAGGTAACAAAATTACGATATCGGAAAGGCCGACCGATGGCGCTTGCGTCTCACGCGCCAGCCTCTCAGAAACAATGGTCATTGATGGCCGACCGGAATCGCTAACTGGAATTACGACCATTTAAACGATTCCTTGTAGTTAGCTAACAGTCCAACACTTCCACTCAAGCAGACTATTAAACTAGAATTCTACTTAACAAATTATTGAAATGCTTAAGTTCAGGTATGTACATTAGAGGAATACGAAAACGAACTTGTGGTCCCGGCATTATGGCGTAGAGTACTGTGGAATTTCGGCCGAATACGAAAGGGAAGATTAATACCTATTAATCTCCCCCAGGACGAATGTGGATGGCTTCGAATACATTGAAGATCATTGGCGTGTGGTCCTGGCATGAATGAGCCACCCCTTCCCGTAGGTGTTGTAAATGGTGACTATGGGAATTTGATGATCGAGGGATGGGCAGCAGCGTCCCTTTTATAACATCACCAAAGCCTAACTGCAATTGCCAACTCGCTTGTCAAGCGTGACAACTACTGGCAAACCCTCCAATAGGGAGAGATGTATTTCCGGCAGTAAATAGTTAAGGGTTGATATAATGTTAAGAAATATATCTGAATATGGTCGAACATATAAACTAGTCAAATGTTAATTCTACGTCAAATATAGGACTTAAAATGTATCTATAGAATGTATGCTCGTTAGTATAATAAAGTCTTTTGTGATTTTTTTTCTATTTAGAAATATAAAAGTATCTGTAGTATCTATCAGATCTGAAAAGTTAACAAATGTTCTGTACCAATTAAACATTTGATCTGATTGATATCTCGAAATGATATCATAGATGTGGTTCAACAATTTCTTTGTACTAATACAACAACATATGCTACAACAAACACACAATTTGTATGAAACATGAACGT